TTTTCAAAGTTTTTGGAGGTTTTTCGCAATTCAAGTTGTTCAAGTTTTTTTAGCTACCAAGTTGTTTTAACGAAGTTTTTTGTGGGATTCGGTGAAGGATAAAAGGGTTTTGTAACGTTAAACACTCGGAATTAGCGTATATATCGAATTGAATTTATTCACAGCGAAAGTAACTTTGGTTTACACCATGAGAGCTGGAACGAGAGTGTGCTCCCGCGACAACGGTATTAGATCATCCGATCGAGGATGTCCGAATTATTACGAATCGTCGCGAGGATGTCTTGCGATAAGGACAGCGATATATCGGCGACACGTGTCACGCGGTACGAAATTCGGTTGCTAAGCCGAGCTCGAAAACAATACATCGAAATGATGTGAAATAAAAAGTAGCTTCGCTAAATTTTTTGACGAAGTTTTGTTGATGGAAGTTTTTTAAATATCAACCCGATACAAAATGCAATTTTTCCAAAAATGCAATTTTTAGACCTCGTCCGTACGAGCGTACATATGTGTGTACGTATGTAACAAAGTTTTTCTTCAATTGTTCGCTCATGAATGGGTGAAATTGAATCTTTTTTCAATTTAATTCATCGATCAGTTTTTTGAATTTTCGAAAAATTTGTTGGGATGGCCCTTTGTCCGAGTTCGAAGATGAAGGAGATAGCAATAATAGTTATTTTGATTTATTTGAAAATCTGCAGAAATTTTTTATTTTTTGAAAATCAGAATTCTGGGGATATCTTTGCACATCATGCTTCAAATGAATTCAATAATAGCTTAAAATGTTTGTTTTAATGCCAGTATTCGAAGTTAAAAGACGATTACGATAGCTATATTGATTAATTTGATTTTTGTGATAGTTGTTGAAAATTTCGAATTTTTTATTAATTTCCTTGAATATGATCTTTCTGATGGTTTCTTCACATGTGATATTTCAAATTCATTCAAGTATGAGTAAATAAAATTTTTCTATTAACATTTTATCGAAGGGCTGAGGGGAGAGATAGAACTGTAAAAAGCCAATCGGCTGTATAGAAGAAAACGGATAATAAGAATAAAGATGCTGATAACACTCGACTAAGTTGAAAATCTGATCAAATTAGGTAAAAGGAAATCTTATTCAATTTAATAAAATGAAATAAACAATAAATTATACATGATAAACGGAAATGATGTGCAAAATAACACCATTCAGAAGCATATTGCTAATTTATTAGCAAAAATAATTATACTATATGCAATACAAGAGCAATTTCACAGTTGTTTAAAATAGTCGAGGTAAGACACTTATGTGTTTCAAACATTAGGTGTTATTCACACAGAAAAAAGTTTTGATTTTCAGGAACATGTCACCGATTGTCAGAAATTTATCCTCAATTATTAGAAATTCGTGATTATGAAATTCAGTGACTTTGTCACCAATTGTAAGTGACATCATAACTAATTTCCAGTGATATCATCAGTCATTTTCTAGGACATCATCACTAATTTTCGGAGTAATGTCACTGATTTTCCGTGAGCTATCTGTAATGTTTTAAATTCGATCATCAAACCATCAGAAAACGCCTGACAATGAAATTTTCGAAAATAAAAAAATTCCATTATTAATTAATAAAAACCAAGTGGATTTTCTGAAAATTGTCATATGAAATTTCACTGATAAATTTCACGATCGAAAAATCATGAAAATCTCCAAATCATTCAAATCAACAATACGATCGATACGAACCGGTAGATGGAATTTACACGAGAGCTTCAAAATTATCAGATAATTTCCGATAGGTTCGTTGCAAACAAACGAAGGAGTCAAGTTTTTCACCCCAAAAAATCACAAGTGCGAAGCACCAGTAATTGTGAAGCTCCAGTGATTGGGTGAACAGGCCAATTACTGGACGGTCAAGGGAAATTCGAGTTTTGCGGTAGGATTTAAAATAAAAGAATCACTGGAATGGAGAAATTATGGCTTCCATACAAGCCATCTTCAAGGTTGTTGTAATTAGTAGAAAAAAATTTTTGAAGTGAAAATAACAAAAAAAAGAATAATTAAATTAAGAAATAGTTAAATGCAGCCGAAATCCCTAATTTCTGGACGACTGGGCCATATTTTATTTATTTATTAAGTGTCGATCGATAGAAAAAACAATTGATCACATTTTTATACACGAGTAATATTATTGAAAGGTGAAATAATCAGTACAATTTTTATTTTATTTATGGAATATTCAATGCAAGTTGAAATCGTCCAGAAATTAATCTGTTTACCTATTCGGAACCGAATTTTTCCATCCAAATTTCGGCCGAGAGGATTACAGTATGAGACAAAATCCATCTGTCAATTCCAACGAGGGGCTCACTTGACCAGGAAGTCTTTTGTTTTTCATATATACATCCACACGAAAAATTACCAGTGGAATTACCAAAGATTATCAGCTGAATACCGTGTTGACAACATGAAATAACCTTCGAATAGTGCAATTCTATTGGCTGAAATTTGTATGGGAAGAATTCCTTCAAAAAAATCCCAACCCTCCCCAGAATCCTAACGAGACTCACTTGACCAGGAAATTTTCTGTTTTTCATATATACATCAACTCGAAAAATTACAAGTGGAATGACCAAAAATTATCAGCTGAATACCGTGTTGACTACGTACAAAATAACCTTCGAATAGTACAATTCTATTGGATGAAATTTGTATGGGAATTTTTTAGAAATTTCCGAAATAAAACTGTTTGACAGCCTCAAATACTGCGCTCTGATTGGCTGAAATCCGAGTGAGAAAAATAATCAGTTGAATACCGGGTTGACTACGTACAAAATAATCTTCGAATAGTGCAATTCTATTGGCTGAAATTTGTATGAGAAAAATTCTCTCAAAAAATCCCAACCCTCCCCAGAATCTTAACGAGAGACTCACTTGACCAGGAAATTTTCTGTTTTCCATATATACATCAACTCGAAAAATTACCAGTGGAATTACCAAAAATTATCAGCTGAATATCGTGTTAGGGGAGGATGGGGCAAAACGGCCCCCCTTCAATTGTCAATAACTTGTGAATGACATTGTGAAAATTCCCAGTTTCAACTTCATTTTGAAGATAATTTTTCATTCTTCAAAACGAGCTCTAACTCATCCCAATCGGATTATTGAATCGGAAAATATTGACGATTGAAGGGGGACCGTTTTGCCCCATCCTCCCCTATCTACATAAAATAACCTTCGAATAGCGCAATTGTATCGACTAAAATTTGTACGTCAAAAACATCTCTCCAAAAAATCCCAACCCTCTCCAGCTATTCCCAAAAATAATCACCAAATCCCCGGATTCCCCCAAAAATAATCACCATCTCCCTCCCCAATCCTTCGTCCCCCGCACCCCCCTCTCCCCCGCCAACGCTCCTCACCCACAGTAATTCGCCTAGACAATAATTGATACATCACCCCCATCCGCCCCTGTTCTCCCACCCAATTACCTAAACCTCCAATTTCTCTCATTTTTCCCATCCACTTAATTCCCCCTGTCCGCCACAACGACAGCGGTAATCAAAAGATGGCTTGTAAAATTTCCCAACAGAAATAACGACAAAAAAATAAAAAAATAAAAAAAATAGTTCGTTGATTCGATTAAGTGCGAGTCGGTGGCGCGAGCGCGGTAACACGGGAAATTCGTGAAATTGCGTCGTCTCGCTTTGCGCAATACCCCCCTCCCCCACCCCCCTCGGCGCTTCTGGGTTACCTACCCCTTTTCATCCACCCACACCACCCCCTCGCACCCCCTGAACACATCCCCCTGCTGTGCGCTCCAACCACTCACCTCTCGCCCCCTCGTCATCTATTCCCTCACTGAAGTAATATTCTCTTCTCCCCGTCTACTATTGTTCACTGACCCGAATTCGAAATTTACCAGTCGAGCGGAAAAACAATAATAATCATAATAATAAAGATGCGAAGTGGTAGGGAGGAGGAGGGGGGGGGGGAGAAACGAATTTTCCTTTTGAATTTGTTCGTTCCTGCCTCAACATGCTTTGAGTTGCAAGTTTTCCGGAGACAAACAGAAATATAGAGACGTATTGGAGGTGGAGGGGTTTTATTTCCTCGAGGATGAAGCGAGAGTTGTTTTCCAGGGGAAGATGATAAGATGAGCCAGACGAATTTTTTTTTTTGAGGAAGTGATGATAATTGAGGGGATAGGGGTTTTAGGTGCTATGGGAGAGGAGTAATTTGTTGGTTCTCAGGGGGTTATTGAAGCGAATTGAGGAAATGCAGTTGTGATTTGGAAATTTTATTTGGCGAATGGAAAAATGTTGAATGCGGTGAAGATCGGGGGGAGTAAGGAGCACTGCTGTAGCTATTTCGCTTGTTATGTTTAATTTTGCAGAGGAGAATGGATAGTCGCATTTTTTGCTGTAGCTGGCTCGCAGCGGTGTAACGGAAAATGAAAACAAGCGTTTACTGAATTCCTAACAAATAACTGGAAAAACAATTTTTTAACCTCTCTTTGTTTATCATAACGAGGGAGTGGAAGCGATGAACATTAAATCAACAAAAGCAGCACTGAATTGAATTTTCGCAGTTCTCCTTTGCAATTCTTCGATTTTCCTCCACAAACAGATGTTATGAAAATTTCTTTTTGAAATTCTCTTGAATCCACCAAAAATTGAACAATCGACGAAGCCCCACTGCCCCGAGAAAATCCCCCGACTCCCTGATTCCGAAAAAAGCATGAGAAAGTGTTTTTCCACAAATTTTCCACCACACCACTACAAAATGCATATAAGAATATTCCGTAGTCCCGCGAGACTGGAAAATCAATGAAAACGTAGGACATGGAGACCCTGAGGAGCCAGGGCCATCGCGATTTTCCTATCGCAATATCATAAAGCCCCTATCACCCACGAAAAAAAACCCGAAATCTAATCTAATCTAATCTCCCTCCAACTAGACGAAAAAGCCTCAAGCAAAGGCAAAATAGCCCCGAAATAATTTAAAATAAACTCACCAAGTTATTTACTCCGCGATGTTTCCCACAACTACAGCTTTCGAAACAATTATCAAGTTTTCCGTCGGTTATTTCCCTGGTCCAGGGGCAGCGTCGATGCACGTCTCTTGGTTTGGATGATACCGAGTTGATACCGCGGCGGGTGGTAGAGGTTTTCTATATTTTCTGTCTGTTATATATTTTTTTATCTCCCCTACTACTTATTTTTCCCCTTTTTTTTACTTTCTCGGGTGCAACTCTCGTACAGCGACTGCGCCACCAGGACAGACTACACTTAACTGACTCGAAACTCGGGACTCGCCGGGATCACTTCTGTCTGTCTCGCTTCAGCCATATATTTATGGTCTCACTTCTTCGCACAGGCTTTTGCCGCCCCCCATGGATACCTCGAGAGCCGAACGCTCACGAGAGAGGGCCTTCGTACTCCTCCCTCTCGCCCTCACCCCCTCCTTCACTCCGCGTACCCATTCCTCTTGGTACTCTGCTTCTGTGCATCAGTCTCTCCTCCCTCACCACCCCGCCTCTTCATCCTCCATCCATCTGATGGTCCAACCGTCCCTTACCCTCCGCTCTCCCTTCCTATTTGGAATACAGTGAAGAATATCTCATGCTTGTCATTAAGAAAAGATTTCCTCGTCTGTTCTGCTATTCCTCTCTCTTCTTTTACATGTTGCGGCAAATTGGGAGGTTTTTCACTCGATTTTCTATTTATATTAGAGATTCTATCCAGGATAATGAGTTTTTGCAGTTTTGAAATTATGGAGGGGGAGGGAAGGGAAATTTTAGATTTTGGAGAAGGACAATTTTAATTCTTCGTTATTATTCATCTGGTTGTTGAAGTTTTTCAGTGTTTTTTTTGCTGAAAATGAAATTTCTAGAGGTGAAATCTTCCTGCTATTCCTCTCTTGTTCTTTTACATGTTGCGGGCAATTGCGAGGTTTTTCACTCGATTTTCTATTTAAAGATTATATCGGGGATAATGAGGTTTTGCAGTTTTGAAATTACGGAGGGGGAGGGAAGGGAAATTTTTCGATTTTGGAGAAGGACAATTTTAATTCTTCGTTATTATTCATCTGGTTTTTTGTTTTTCAGTGGGTTTTGTTGAAAATGAACTTTCTAGAGAGGAAAATCAATTGAATTGGATAGTTGAAGCTTTGAAAAACCATCTCCATTGAACAATTTTCTGGTCTGCTCTGTTCACTGATTCGTCTATCGTTAGTTTTTACTTTTTTTTTGTTCCGAGTGGAAGCATTGTATTCGTCAAATCCGGAATTTCCTATCTTTTGTGTCAGGACAACTAATTTTGGCCTCAGGATTCGAATATCCTTTTTTTTAGACCATCCCGGATGTATATATGTATATGGGTATGTGACCCATAGTTTTTCGATGATAACTGGAGAAATAATTATTTGAATAAATCCAATTATTGTTTAAAGTATTCTTCTCAACGCCATCGTGATCGAGTTGGATGATAAAATTGATTGCATCAGCTGCTGTTGAAAAAATTTATTTTGAAACCAATATTCAGGGAAATGTAAACAATTTTAACGTTGGGATAATGCTGGCTGCCGACGTTGGGACAACGTTGGTGCAATTTTGGCTGCCAGCGATGGGGCAATGTTGGCAATCAACGTTGAGACAATGTTGACTGCCGATGTTGGGACAACGTTGGTGCAATGTTGGCAGCCAACGTTAAGGCAATGTTGGCTGCCGACGTTGGGACAATGTTGACTGTCAGCGTTGGAGCAATGTTGGTTGCTAGCCTTAGGACAAAGTTCGCTGGCAACGTTGCCACAATTTTAGCTACTACCGCAGACACAATATTGACTGCCAACGTTGGACCAATGTTGAATTCAATAAATCATTGAATGCAATCGAAAATACATGGTTATAGAAATTCTATTCGAAAGCAAATTGCGAATTTATCAGCAAAAATATATTGGCTATGTTGTGACGAAATTTCCCACTTGTTTTTATGAGATTCGCAGATTTCTAACTTGACTTCTTACTTGAAGTTGACAAGATCGATAACGCGTGGGTTTCTGTAATTTAGAAATAGCGGCGAGTGGAGGAGACGAGAGGGAATGATAGACTTTGAAGGAGGACAATTTTAATCCTTCTGCTCAACTGATTTTTTGGACAAATTTTTCAATATTTTTTAAAAATGAAAATGAACGCCATGAGAAGAAAAATAAATAGGATGGGATTAGTGAAGCTTTGAAAAATAGTTTGTCGTCGTTAGGACCAGAGGGGCATAAGTGATGTGTATAATCCGATAATTATGTGGTTCATTATATTATCCCTCTGTCATTCGTTTTGGCATTCACAGAGAGAAAAAGTTTCTGGTTTCCAGCAAGTTTTTTCTTCCCTGGATTCAGTATTGCGAAGTACTGAAATTCAGAAACTGTTGCTGAAAGCCAGAAACCTTTTTTATGCCTCCAGGGACGGAAACCGCGATTCTAACCTCGCTTCGCTCGGTTAAATCGCGGTTTTCAGTCCTCGAGACATAAAATATCGTGTACCACACGGCCGTAAAAGTATTTTCTGACTCATGTGATTATAACCCTCGCCGTCGGCTCGGGTTATAACGGCCCATTCGTCAGAAAATACTTTTACTCCCTAGGCGCACAATATACTAATTTCACACACCTGCACGGAAAGTTCGTACTTTGGTCCCTGTTGAGCGGGAGGAAAGTGAGTACTTCCCTGCCTCGGGTGGAAAGTACTCACTTTCCGCCCGCTCATCAAAGAGCAAAATACGAACTTTCCTTTGTAGGCGTGTTAAAATAGTATATTTCTAACCTAGGGAGGGAAAATAAAGGATCCTCAGCCGCCAGTGCAATTACCAGCCGAGCCGAAGACGAGGTTGGTAAGCACGCGGCCGAGGGTCCTTTATTTTACTTCCCGTGGTTAGAACGCGATTTTCCGTCTCGGCGTAGGCGCAAAGTCAGAGTTCCCTCCCGCGAAGCGGGAGGGAAATGTAACTTTGCGCCCGCCGGGACGGAAAATAGCATGTGCCCCTCAGGCGGGAAAACATGACTTTCCGCCCTTGATGCACAATATACTATTCTCTGTGTTATGTCCGGTTTGAAGATTTTTAATTCTATTTTTTCATTGGAGCTAATGTGCGGGATACAACGTGAGTGTTTATAATTTTGAAATTGTCGAGGGCGTAGAAACACAGAAAGGGGGTGCATAATCGATTCTGGGAGAAGGAAATTTGAATCCTTTGTCATTATTCCCTCGGATACGGGCCTTTCTGTTACGAAGCCTGACGTGCGTTTAATATCACTGAGATTCGATAAATTCTGATGCATGAAAAATTATAAAACGCATTAATAATTGAAGCTACACTATCCAGCTTTCAAATAACGTTGGCTGAATTGGATTATCTGTCACAGTTTTGGAATTATCCAGTTTTGAACAGAATCATGCGTTTTTGCTTGCTCCATATACGTATATAGACGCCGTCCTTGAGGGGTTAAGCACGCATACAGAACACACTATGCGAACTTTCCGCGTTCTTATGGAGATTGGACGCATAGCCAAAGGGACTTAGCAATCGTCAAAATCGCTCTTTCTATGTGTAGATTACAATTTATTAGGCACTAAGTTACTTCAAGTCAGTAGTGAAGTGGTCAAACGGTTTAAGTCAATTCCATTCTAGCGCCAGTTTTGGATGAATATCTCAAATTCTAAAGGAGTTAGTAACATTTTCCGAAGATTTTTTTTTGTAAAGAAAAGTGAAGCCTACCGAAAAAGATTTTACAAAATTTCGCTTTCTTATATTCCGAGTTATTCAACAAAAACTCAACTGGAAGACAGACAACTGGATTGACAGCTTCACTACTGAATTTTGAATTAATTGAAAATTCAAAAATATATTCACCTGTATTTTTCGGATTTCTGTTAATTTTCATTAGGACAGCGCGGCAACCGAGAGAAGGCGAGACTTTAGAGAGTATCGTCTCGGTCTCTGTTAATAAATAGAGATATTGCACTTTTGAGTCGATGACAAATATTCTACTGTGCCCCACCTTCCCCTAGGATTGGATATTAGTCGAAGCTTTGAAGAATTATGTTTGTCCAATAATTGTCTAGTCTGTCTGTTATTAATAATTCTTTCTCTCGGTTTTATTTCACATTTGTCTTGAGATCCGGAAGTTCGGCACTTGATTTTTTATTTCGTGGTAATATGAGAAATGACGTCACATGATTCTTAGTAATTTGGAAATAATGAAGGGGGGAGAGTAATAGATTTTGGAGGGAGAGCCGTTTTGACCCTTCGTTACTCACTTGATCTCTCAACGAGTTTTCCAATGGTGCTTCCTTATTGAAGATAAACATAAAAAGAGAAATAAATTGATGTATTACTCCGTGCAGAAGTCGGGCGGAACGCAGTGTGCTATAATAGTATATTTCTAACCTAGGGAGGTCAAATAAAGGAGGCGGCGTGCCCACCTTAATTCCGCACGTGAGCACAACTCCTTTATTTTACTTCCCTAGGTTAGAAATATACTATTGTCACGGCTGCTCACGCATGAAAAAATTCAATAGAAAAACTTGGCGGATTCGCTAGAAAATTCTATTGGAATTCTCTAGAAATTCTATTGGGATTCTCTTAAAATATTTAAAAATAATATTTTTGTTCTATTTAATTTATTTCTAATAAAATAAAATAAACACATATGCTATATATTTTATTTTTATTTTATTATATTTTTTAAATAAAAAAAAATTATATACATATTCAAAAAAAAAATTTTTTTTTGAATATTTTCTTGTTAATATACAAGATATTCAAGTGTAGGACCGAAATAATTCCAAGCCAAGCATGGCGGAATGGATTGCTAACAAAAAACTTTACATTCTTCTTTTAAAAGAGGAATATTTTGCAGTTGATTTTGCTCCTAATTTTTTGGGCTTATTTCAGAGTGAATCTTGTATTTGACATTATTCTGTTAACATAATTTGTTCGAATTTCCCCTAATTCACCTCCTGATGTTGTAAACTACACTGCTCTGATTCGCCAAAATCTGACTGGGAAAAACAATCCGACAAATACCCCTCGAGCTTCAAAATGAATCGGCAATTTCCCTCAAGCTCCCCTGCAAACGAACGACTGTGCCAAGTTTTGTAGGAAAATTCCTCGCACAAGCACTCGGGATTTTTTTACCCGCAAAAGATGACACCCTCATTTGTTTGCAACGGAGCTAATCGAGAGATACTCGATCATTTTGAAGCTCTTGGGGTATTACTACTGATAATTTCCCTGGTGGCAGGCAGATTATAAGACCGATAATTTCAATGTAGCCTATCAAT